TCAGTGTTGTTGCCTTCACGAACAAACACTGCGCTGTGTACAGTATATGGTGGAGAAAAGGGGTGGGGGGGGGGGGGACTAGGCGGGACATTAGTTCGTGTGGATCGTTAGATACTGCGATTGTCGCAGAAGCCGCTGATGGGATGAACCATATATGCCCAGCAGGGATGATACGCTTTGTTCTTTGTACGGCGGTGTGTACCATGGGCAGCGAGATGTTTCCTTGATTTTCTGTCGTGGGAGAGCTGGTGCGGGTTGGCGTAATGATACTTGGTTGGGTGCATCGAGTAGTACAATCAATATCTTGAACTGTTTACGAGGCGGCACCTGTTTAACTAACTAGTGTCGTTGTGCACCTACATTGGAACTTGTTGTGCGGCGGAGCTGTGTCGTTCATGCTGGGCGACATGCAGACGCTAGGAATTTTACAATTAATTGAGCTTCGGGTTGCATCTTGGCCACTTCCGCTGCGGATGTAGAGCACACAGACAGCAGTTAGTTGCGGTAAATTTGGAGTTGCGATCTACAAACCTTAGCCACTGAATTTTGCTGATGGCGCTCGGGCATTGCAAGGTCTGGTCTAGTTGAATGCTAGATTGTCCATTCGTGGTGGTGGTTTTGTGTACAGTAGAGTATTTGAATTGTGTGACTCTCATCACCTAACTGACCTACAACTGACAACTGACAACCGATGTTGCTGCTGTACACGGAGACGCATGGCTGAATGTCCAACGACAAACACCAGAGTCATCAGAATACAGGGGGTAGACGACCCCAAGGCATCTTTTCGCCTTGTGTAATACAGCGTGAAAAAGAGCTTCGTCCGACTACATCGTCTCCGTCTGTCATCGCTCTTTGGTGTGAGTCGAAAAAAGGTACAATACATCATAGAAATTACTACTTGCGCCTTGCGCCAGGTATTCCCGATGATGAATGTATGTAGGTAAATCAAAGATAGTAACATATACTCAGCGATGCGGTGATGCGACGCCAATGTGGACAGAGCACATACTCTGTTCACATGCACCGATGTGCATAATAACCAAAGATACAAGGATGCGAGAGGGCTACGGGGGGGGGGGGGGGGG